ACGTTGTTCCCATAAGTTATGATATTGGATCTGTAGATTTTGCCATTCCTGTAATAATCTCGCTTTTCTCCTTTGTGTGACTACCTGGGTGAAATATGAATCAGAAGGTTTCTTTTTCAGGTTTTCAATTTTCCTTTTTAGTTGAATTTCTTTGTATTTGCGATTGACTGCTTTCAAACGGGAGATGAGATTCAATTGATTCGAGACGAGCATTAAACCTTTATCAAACCACGTGCCATCATTCGGAAACAGACATGTGTTACTTCTCCATTTTTCCCACGTTTTCCAGACCCAGTCCACAATATCGGGGTCTTCTAGCACATGTTGACTTAGCCTGAATAGACCTTTTCCTCTCGTGATGTTTAGTCCGAGATTCATTGAGATTGAGACTGGTTTGTGGTCTGAGAGGGGATCGGTGGTTATTTTCGCTTTATTTATGAGTTGCAGTGCAAAATCGTTGATGAGGAAGAAGTCCAGTCTTCTCATTGTAGGGGGTCCATTTTCAGAAGCAACCGTGGATGACCATGTGAATGATACCTCGTCTGGGTGTAGTATCCTAAATGGATCGAAGAGGCAAAGATCTATCATAAGATCATTGAGTGCTGCAGATTCACCGAGGTGGGAAAATGGAGTGGTAGAGTCTACATCTGCGTTGGGGACTGTGTTCCAGTCCCCACCCACAATGGTATAGTCTGAATTATGAATAAATTGGTTGATAGAATTGAGGAAGTCAGTTTTCCTAGAGTGATCTACCGGAACATAAATTGAGAAGAAAGTCCAAGATTTGCCATTAAGCTCCAATTTTTCCCAGCACCAGTGACCTTCTGGGTCTGTTCCGGTTTTCTTTATGTTGTCTGTTAATTTCTTATGAACTAGGATACCAGTGCCTCCCCTTGTTCCCTGGGTAGGGGCCCAGATTTGGGGGCCACTCCACCATTTAGGCATGAAGTTTAGTTTGTCTTCGCATAATTTAGTTTATTGCAGTAGCATTATTGAGATACGGCATGAGTGAATCCAGCTTTTCACTCTTGCCCTCTTGTGTTTCCCGTTGTTATCCACTAGGTCTCTTACATTCCAGGATGCCACTGAGAGTCTACTGTCCATTTGCTGCAGCGGACTGCAGCCCCCCTTGGATAAGCTCTTGCCGTGTTCCCTTCACCCCTTGTGATAGGCTCGGTACATCCCATGGGAGTTTCGTGGACTCCGGAATGTATTTGGAAAAGAGGAAGCGCTCCCTTGGAACGAAGTCATCTAATTCAGCAATTACATCTCCCAAAATGTCGTCTCCCAATGAGGGGTAGAAGTGTTCTTTGGCGTTATTCTTTTTAAACCAAGCGACCGGTGCCCAAAAGAGATCTTTATCCACCACCTGAGGATCTGTGCCTGGGGCCTGGGCTGCTTCCAGACACAGGCTGAGGATGTGGTGGGTTTTGTCGAATTGTCCTTTCCTGTAGGTCGAACTGCAAGGCATAGTTGGGATTGGTCTCACGAAATACCGTTTGTCCAGCAAATTCCGTGCAAAATTCAGAAACTCGTTCGGGTGAGAAAAAGTGTTGGTTGTGGTCGAGGGGAGAAACAGATCATTGTTGTCGTTCTGTTGTAGCAGCAAGAGTGTGGTTTGGTTGCTCTGCTTTATGATCAGTGGGGTTAGGACATACAGTGTGGTCTGCTGGGCTATTGGGTTCACCGGGCCCAACAATTGCGGGAGCTGTGGATGTTGTACCACCTGCGCCACCGTGTCCATCAACTCATCCTCAGTGCGAGGTTTCTTTTGTGGTTTTGCAGGTGGTTGGGGTGTGACTTCATTCTGTTCTTTGGCAGTGCCTTCAGTGCCCCTGGTGGAGGAGGACGACCTCGTACCCAGCGCAGGATCCCGTGACGAGGGTCCTGCTTGGTCTGGGGATTGCAAGCCGTCTTCTCCTGCAGCCGTGATCGCAAGTAGTCCCCTGTTTCCCTGAGGTGCCAGTGAGTGACTTCCGTAACCCAGTGGAATCTGCATTCCGCCTTGTTCTGTGTACTGTCCCGCCGGATGCCCATGCTGAGTGGGTTGAGCTGGGCGCCATTTGAATTTGTTGCCTGTTAGCGGTTTGGCGTCTTGGTTTGGCCCTGGGGGTGTGCTTCCCCAGCCTGAGAAGGACTGCGAGGCCCCCGTTGGAACTGTCGTTCCTTGACCTCACTGGGAACCTTTCTTGCGTGGTACTTGTTGTTGGCTGGCCCCCTTTGAGGCTGTTTGCTACTCCCAGTTGTTACGCCAGATTGAAGAAGCATGCTAGTGAGAGTTAAAGCCTTGGCGTTCATATGAAGATTTTTTCCTTGCGAAGTTCCCTTTATCTGATTTGCATTCCTTGTTGGTGTGACCATACCTATAGCAGTAATCGCAGTAGGGGCAGTCTTCTTGCTTGTGGCCGTACCTGTTGCAGTTTGTGCACCACGGGGTATTCAAATTCACTAGGTCCGCCATTAAGAAAGCAAATTCATCCCAGACCTTCAGGCATGGTCTGAAACGCTCCTCGGCGCTTGGGTGGAGCTAGTACTTAAGGTTGCCTAGCTTTGGGTCCTCCGGGTCAGCTATCGGAGGGAACTCACTCACGATTTTCCCCATTGCTGCTTCCAATCCAGTTCGAATGTAGACTGAAGCAGCGATAGGGAAACGCATTGCCATGACCCAGTAGTTGTTCCTCTTATCCTCATCTCTCTTCTTTTCCCACTCTGTGCGGGGCAACCACTTACGAAAGAAGACAAAGTTTCATTTATTGCCTTCTTTGAACTTCATCTCCTTTTTGGTGTTCAGGAGCCAATCCACAACCTTCAAGTTCCTTGCAACATAAGTGATTTGACCTTTACCCTCCATGTGTATCGTTCCTCTTTCAGAGACGAGTTCTTCCTCTGTCATAACAGACTCTTCCAGGTACCGCACTAGATCAATTTTTTTCTCGTTTGACCAGTCCTTCGTTTCTCCCTGAAAAACCACCGACACAGTCATTTGTTTGAGAAATTCATTTTGTGTTTTTTGGAATCTCTCATCTGGTCTTATTTCGATACAATCATCATCTTCATTGATCGTTGTTTTCACATACTCCGACACATCTTGAGAGACGTGATCAATGAACCAGCCTTTCATGATCTCCGTGATCTTGAGGTTCGAGCTATCCATCCTACTTATTCAGTGCACCGAGTTTGCTTTTCTTTCTTCCCCCTTGGGATGGTGAAGTACAGAGAAAGTGACAAAACTCTTATTCGAGAGAGGGACCGTCTCTATTTGCCTTTCTCCCCTCGTGGGATGGTGAGGTACAATAAGGAAGAATAAGCTTTTCACTCGTATAAGTTATGTTGTTGGGAGTGTGTCTAAGACCCAACGCGTGGCGCTAGTAGGACAAGGTCGCGTGCCGGTCCGTCCGCGAGGTTTAAGGTTGAATCGACAACCACGAAGTGAGACGAGGAGCTCAGGATATCTGGATAAAAAGGTCCAAAGTATATATGCGATGTTTTCTTCCGGAGGGGAGGGCGGGGCCTATGGACAATGATTGCGGGAGGTGTCAGATACCCTATTTAACGGACTACCAGGCGAATGATTACACGGACAGGACAAGAAATCGAGCTATTCGATTTTAGTGCATCTTCGTGTAGTGCGTACGCCTCCGGGAACGGAGGGGGAAAAACTACGCGGAGGCGGCGTGGTCGGAACAGGCCCGAAAATTCCACATTACCTGATTAATAATGGGGAGGGGGGCAGAAATGGTCCTTGGGGTGAGGGCTGGGATTTCCGACGGGTGAGAGTGGGGGGTGTCGTATGGGTAGATTGCTATTACACATATAAAACAGAAGCTGCCTGACAATTCGGGGAGGGCTGTGGACCTAGCGTGGGAGTGTATGGGAGTATGTTATTCTTAGGGTTAGGGCGGGGGGAATGGGACGTCCGGACGTATAGAAGGTAGAATCAAAGATTGAGTGAATGTAGACTGGATGTGGTCCCCGACGGTAGGTAATACTGGAGAAAAGAAGAAAAAAAAGGGGGGACTTTGCTATTACACGAAAAAAGACAAAAAGGGAATAAAAACCTAATTGAGGGAAGGCGGCGGTGGACAATATGGAGTTGAGTTGTAAAATGCTGTATATGGAAAGTTAGGGGGGTAGGACACTGTTTGAGTGAATGTGGCCGAGGGTAGGGATAAAGTTAGGGAACGGTGAGAAAGAGAAGTTAGGGTCTTCGGCGAGACTCTCTTCCCACAGTCGGAAGTTGCCAAAGAGTCGATCTCACCCCTGGTATTGCCCTTGGCCGACTGACGCTCCAATTGCTTCCGCCACTGAAGAGGAGAGGACTGTATCTCGAAAAGCCTCTGAATCTCCGGCGAGATGAATGTACCGAGAGAACTGTGTACGATGCTGAAAGAAAGCTGAGTGGACAACTGTAGCGGAACGCCCACCTGAGGCGCTACGCTGGTAATTCTGGTTACTCTTGTTGGTGAGTCTCGTGGTTGGGGGGAGGTGGTTTCCACAAAGATGAAGTTACCATCGCGGTTAGTTCACGCGATGGGGTTAACTTCTCCTCATTACCTTCTGCCCTCTAGGTAGAAGGTAGGATAGCTATGGTAGCTAGGCGTACAAGAGCAAGCCGGCGCGCCGCTGAGGTCGCGTGCCTGTCCGTCCCCCTTTTTTAATTAATCACTTTTTTGCCTTAAGGGCACCGTTACAAAGTAAGGGTTTTGTAGTGGTGTCGAACGAGGCTCGTAGGCGGTACTGTGCATCTAGGTGTGTTTGATGATCATAGACGTGGATACGGTCAGGTACGTCCAAACGACGGCCAGGTGTGAATGAAATGGTGGTCTGAATATTCCCTTCAGTTGGAGCGCACAAGTCACCGAGCCCAAACCAGGCCATGCGGGTAACGTGAAATTGTTAGTAAGGTCAAGGGCTCGAACCCAGCCTGCGATAATCAGAAAACTGCGCGCAAAACGAAAACAGTAAGTAGGCGGTACTGCCGGTCCACGTTCCTGCCGTACCGGCGCCTTGGCGGGGTCCCAATCATACACCGACCGCGCTCCATACTACACAACACTCTACATGTATATGGACGGCTGTGATGCCTATATACATTCGGAGGAAACTCAACATTTTGAGTGTACCCGGACGACGAAAGGGACATGTAGGCTGCTGTGAAGTTGAGTGAGGCCTAGAGTCAAGTGGAGTGCCACGAAGTAGGGTCGGTTTACCGCCGGTTCAAGGACTTGCCTAATCATGGAGGCAGAGAGTAGCAGGTAGCCGGTAGCCATCACCGCCAGGACTTCACCAATTGTAATCCTAGCCTTGAGAAGACAGGGTTTCAGAGATAGGCGTGCCCAAGGCCATGCTTGCCGCCGAGGGGTCTGCAACAGCTGAAGGTACGTAGGTGACCCTCTCTCCCTGAACGTTGGTTCCCCACACTCTCCACTCTCCCTGAACTTTGCTGGCACTCTCCACTGTTCCTTCTTCGTCTCATCTTGTTCTTCTTCTCCTCCTTCTCCTCTTCCTCCTCTTCCTCCTCTTCCTCCTCCTCTTCCTCCTCCTCTTCCTCCTTCTCCTCATTCTCCTCCTCCCTCTTCTTCTTGGGGAACTTTAGTGTCAAGGCTATGACCGCTCAATCCGTGCAGATGCTGTAATGCTTCTTTGAGCCTCGCTCCACTACTCCCAACATGCACAAAAGACAGAAATCATGGCGGTGTACCTTTCCATGTTCTAGCGGAAGATTCACTCTCATTTTGCACATTTGAAGAGTAGTGGAGCGAGGCCCTTTGAGAAGCGTGAACCTATAGTGACTTAGGCTCACCATCACGATTCTTCGTTTCCCCCCCTTCTTCTTCCCTCGGCTTTTGGTCCATTCCCGCTTTTGCACATCTTCGTCTCCCTCTGAGCCCTCTCCCTCCTCCTCTTCTCCTCCTCCTCCTCCTACTCCTCCTCCTCCTCCTCCGCCGCCGCCGCCGCCGCCATCGCCTCTTCCTCGAATAAGTCCGAAGGCATCTTCCTCAGATGGCAGCACGGAAGACAGAAAGTTGACTACCTCGGCTGCATCTGTCTGTACTTAGCCGTAATTGCGGTCAAGATACGTTCGTGAATAAGTCCGAAGGCATCTTCCTCGGATGGCAGCACGGAAGACAGAAAATTGACTACCTCGGCTGCATCTGTCTGTACTTAGCCGTAAGTGCGGTCAAGATACGTTCGTGATCGTCCCCCGTATTTCCGGTCAGATACCTTCGTGATCGTCCTCTGTATTTCCGGTCAGATACGTTCGTCATCGTCCTAGTCTGAGGGTGGCGTGTCATCGAGTCTATCTGTGTGTATCTGTCTGTGCTTACCCGTAATTACGGTCTGATACGTGCCAATTACAGCAAATAGACACGAGTAAGGGGACGGATCGCCGGCGGATCTGATGATGAAGTCGAACGGGCGGGAACAGAGAGGAGGAGAATGAAGGCCGGAGCGATGGCAGTCATGAGAGAGAGTGAAGGCGGCGGAGAGAGAGAGAGGAGGACCAGAAGCTAGTAGGGAGGGGCAGAGAAGTTGCGCATTGCACTTGAGCGGCAGGGATATGCTTCTCCCTCCTTCGGCCTCGTCATCGTCGCCCTCCTCCTCCTCTTCCTCCTCGTCCTCCTCCTCACACCTCTCCCGCTCTTCTCAGCTCTCTTTCGACTTTCGGTATCAGATTCCTCGCTCATTCCGTTCTTCTTCTTCTTCTTCTTCTTCTTCTTCCTCCTCCCCCTCCTCTCCTCCCTCTCCCTCTTTTGCTTCTTCTTCTTCTTCTTCCTGGGTTTCCGAGTAGTGAGTGGTCTCTGAAGAAGAGAGATGGTCGAGGAGGAGATCCGTCTTCCCCGAATAGAACGTACGGTCATCATGGGTGTAACTGGACTAAAATCTGGTCAAGTACAGAGTACGCGATGAACGGATGGTGTCAAGCGGTAGATGCACACACACACACACATAGAGAGAGAGAGAGAGAGAGAGAGAGAGAGAGAGAGAGAGAGAGAGAGAGAGAGAGAGAGAGAG